CACTTCTATCAATCGAAAGGAGACTGCGACCACACCAGAGGCCACAACATCTTGGTCTTCATATATTGAAAAAGTAAGTTTATCCCTCCTAAAAACTGAAATCGTCTATCTTTAAATCTGCTATAGCCCGGCTTGGCCTCTATTAACTGGAGCTGGATTATTATATCCTATCCACGAATGCCTATTTATGATTATCAAATGACAACTTTTGAATTGTTTCCTTTCAGAAAGAGAATGAGCTCATCCGATTAGAGCGTATTTTATCCATCATCTCAGCTCCAGCCAGCGGCTTGAACCCATCACAGCTCTGCGAAATCATTTGCGATAAAGAATTTTTGAGAAGTCTAATCACACCCGACTCATCCTCCGCACCCTCCAAAGCAGAGTCAGCATTTATCAGAGAAGGTGGTACAGAGTCCTTCCAACAAGGCGTTGATCTTGCCTGTCAGTCTGAAACTGGTATGTTGTCGAATAGCGAAAGTGACCACAAGTGGCAATCTTCTTTAGTAACGTCAAACGACTACCAAGAGTGTGTGACGGGGGTAACTTTTGGTAATAGAGAAGAACCAAGCAAGGTATCTTTGACAGCCAAAGAAGAAGCAGTACTTTACGGAGAAAAGGACTTAGAGCAAGACTCTCCGCACTCAGATGAACATGCTGCGATGGGGAATGCCGATAGGGTACATAATACAGACCAAATATAGTAAGTTTGAAGGCAAATGCAAAACCGGCTTTACCTAATGAGAGAGACAATCTTAGGTTGTGTACTTTAGGTAAGTTTTTTAAAATATCATTTCAAGCAGTGGGACAGATGCATATTACTAATGCTATAAAGTGGGAAAAACATATTTTTAAAGAAGCATAATTGTTGAAGAATCGCAATGAAATCACACGATAATATTATAAATACTTACTTTGATGGCTCTACTATATACTTAAACTGGCCTATATCACATTAGCACTTCAAGTGGGAGTAAAAACAGCACCTTATGTGTGCTAAAGACGAATGCGTTGACAAGTGAACTTGACGACGCCAAACTCTGAAGTTGAAGATGATGCGAAAAGATAAATACGACTTACCCTATCACAGACTACTATCTCTGCCTTTAGTATTGAACTTTCCTTAAGTCATGCAAGCACTGTAGATGCAATATGACTGGGATTGCTACTGGGTCCTAAACAGGGCTTCCGCTGAAGATAATTTTAAATGACCCATTATGTTCATACATTAGAAATGCCATCGTACAAATATAGCTTATTTCGAAGTAGGCCAGGTTTCGTTATCTTCTATAATGCAAAAGTGTTAATTTTTGTCTCTAGGATTGCACAAAGTATTGCGTGTCTCAAGACTATTC